AAAAAACCACACCTTGAATTGGTTGTTACGGAAAATACTCAAGCAAGCGAATATGATGACTCATCGAATTTCGAAATCGCCGACATGAGCCGTTGTAGCGGGGTAATGACAGGGGGAATAAAGTTCAAACATCTGATAGCTATGAAAAAAGTAATAAATATGGAAATAAATACCATTAAGAGATCGAGAGGCTCAAATCAAAACAACTAGCGTCAAGTATAATCAGTAATGTTCCGAATGATTTTTCAGAAGCAAAACAAAGTGCTAATTGGTATGACTGGAAATCCGCAATGGAAAATGAATTAGATTCATTACATAAACACGAAGTGTGGAAATAGTAGAGAGGCCTGAAAAACAAAATTAGTAAAAAGTAAGTGGGTGTATACTTTGAAGGAAGGAGACTCTGGGGAAGTAAAATATAAAGCACGATTAGTAGGGGCTGAGTTTAATCAAATAAAAAACAAGGATCAAATCATATTCACCAGTAGTTAACATTGAATGTTTTAGATTATTGCTTGCACTTTCAGCTAAATTAAACTTGACTGTTAAATTTTATGATGTAAAAACAGCATACTTGTACAGTGACTTGTGTACATGACTCCTCCACCTGGTTATGAAAAACTGATTGGAGAAGGAAAAGTATGTAAATTGAAGAAAAGTATTTATGGGTTGCCTCAATCGGTAGAAATTGGTATATGAAAATAAAAAAAAACTGAATTAGAAAAACTTGGGCTGGTACAGTTAGCATCTGATAATTGTATATTCATTTATAATGATACCAAAAACATTTTTATATTGTGTTTGTATGTTGATGATTTAGCTGTATTCTGTAATAATAAAGAAATGCTTGAAAATATTGTTTCTAAAATTAAAAATGTATTTGAGTTACATGAAAATACTAATTCAAAATTTTTGGGAATGCAAATAGAAAAACTTGAAAATGGTATATGTTTGTCTCAAACAGAATATATTGAATCTTTATTGATTGACTAAACACAATCTGGAAAATTGTAAAGCAGTAAAAAACGCCAATCGTTAAAGGGGCAGATAAAGGTTTTTCATGTACAAATGAAAAAATTGATGCAATTTTGTATCATGAATTAATTGGGGAACTTTTATATTTAGCGAATAGAACGCGTCCTGATATATCATTTGTAACAACTTATTTGTCACAATTTAATCATGTACCAGAAAAAGGCATTATCTTTTGGCTAAAAGGGTATTAAGGTATTTAAAAGGTACAAAAAATAAAAAAACTTTTCTATAGCAATGATTTTGGAGTTTTAAATGCATATGCTGATGCTAGCTGGGGAAATGCAGAAAATGGTAAGTCATTTTCTGGTGGTACTATTTTACTAGGTGATTCATTGATTTCTTGGAAATGTCGTAAGCAGAGAAGTGTTAGTCTGTCTACTTGTGAAGCAGAATTATTTTCTATTTCTGAAATTTGTAAGGATATTATTTGCACTGTAAATTTATTATCAGAATTAAAATGTAAAACAATTTTTGAATGGTGCAGTGGTCTTGAATACAGACAGTCAAGCTGCCATCCAGTGGATCAACTATGCCAGATCTTCTACGAAATCCAGACACATGAACTTACGTTTCCATTTTATGAAGGACTTATGAAAGGACAATGTCATTAAGTTGGATTACTCACAAACTGATAATATGATTGCAGATTTTCTTACTAAGAGTGTCAGTAAAGAAAAATTAATGTATACATTGAAAATAATTTCCTTAATTTCTTAATGTAACATGTTATATATTGTTTGCATTTCATTTTTGTATTGAAAAAATGTTGCTCGCAGGAGAGGTGTGTTGGGTAGAGGCGAGCAAACTTTTTTTTCTTATGCGCATGCGTATTAATTATGATGGCGCAGCTGGCTCTTCTCCCGACACATCTGTCACTCGAGCGTAGGGAGATGGTGAGATGTTATCTGCTGTGTGATGGTCAGTATCATTTCCTGTGTGATCTTTTTATTCATTATTTGTATAAATAAAGTGTGTTGTCCTACGATGGCTTCTTTACTCTAAATATTGGCCTCTGAACAACAGATTCATTTAGCACAAGAATGCTGTTAGCCAAAAGGAAACAATAGACTCCCATGATTTATGCCAAATTTATTAGCGAAAAGACAAGTATATGTGTTTACAGTGAAAAAAAGAGTGACAGTGATAACAGAAAAAGAGGAGTTTCATGACACGAACACCTTACACATGATTAATGCATAAGTTGTTTGATATACCCTCCCCCTTGTTTCACTACTAGTTGAAAGCACAAAGCGACATGTTCCATAACAGATCAGAGGACATATGTGCTGATGCTATGAATGCGGTTAATGATGCCTGCCTTCAAGTCAGCCTAAACATCATTCTTCAGGTATCCCTAAAGCCAAAAATTATACAGGTCTGAGTTAGAGGAATGTGGCAGTCCTGCTGTTGGAAAATGGTGGCTTATGATTTTATCAAATCCGAAACGAACGATCGGCAGCTGCTTCACATAAGTAGCAATGCACAGAGAAGTGCCATCTTGCATAAATATTGTGATTTACACACACTGATGCTGCTGATGTGGTATAAGGAAATGGTTATGAAAAGTGCTTGCAGTAACGGTGCAGGTAACGGGAACCACAGGTGTGATCTCCTCTATGTTTGTAGTGGGAAAGGATTCTTGGTCACCCCTATCCTGCAACTGTGTGCATGCATACTTGGAAACCTATGACACTTAAAAATCAGGAGATTTTTTTAAGAAATTGGGAGATTTTTCACAATGTTAAAAAGACTTTTTAAATGACGAAAATATAGTTTTTAATAATGAATTAACTTTAATAGTAACTAATTCTTAAATGCAAGCACAAAATACCTTAACATAAAAACATTTTTATTACTGCATCATTGAAGAAAACAAAAAAACCTTATCAGGTTTCATACAAGGTTATAAAAAGTGGGCAGATTTTATTCTTTAAGAAAGAAACTTCATAATTTTGTTCATAGCATTGCCACGTATCCCTTTGCTAATAACGTTTTTCTAATGTGTCATTACCTTAGAATCACAGAACATCACATGGGTCATCACATCTAATGTTCATCATATAGATCTAATTTGTCCCGGTTTCGCAACACTAAAATCCCTCACACTCTGCATTAGGGGCACTATCAAGATGGCCAACATAATTCTAGACAGTTCACTATATTTAAAATTCCATCAGATCTTCAGTTTCCAATTAAACTCCAATGGAGGCATCCTAGCTGATTTTATAACTTCATCCAAGTTTTCTAATTGTAAACCTGTTATGCAGCGCTGGAAATGTTTCAGTTTCCTTCCTTTAGAACTCGTTCAAGATACAATAAATATCACAATGTTCATCTACATATTGTAAAGAAGGCCCCTCTTTCAGCTGTGGCATAGTGGCAGGTAGTGCTCCAGTAAAAAGGCAGAGAACAGACATTCTTCATTAATAACTTTTTGGTAATAACTCATGTTGTCCTTGTGTTTTTGTGTACGCACACGTTTGAGAACATCTGCCCTTTCACCATGCAAAATCGAAACGACAAGCGGTACACATTGCAAATTTATTTTTCCTTGAGGAAATAATGGAATAAAAGTCAACTCTGTACGATTTTTGAAATGTACACGAGTATTTCACCTTTCTCTCGCAGACATAACAAAGATGAAATTTCTAAAAAATTTCCCGAAGGCACGTTACTCCCAATCAGGACAAATACCCGTATTAACTAAAGAAACTCCAAAACAGCTGCTTGTCCTCATTGGCTAATATGCCGATGACTGCAGTGGAGCGATGCCCATTGGAGAACTGGAGAACGACGTTCTGGATCGATATGCTCTCACTCACAAAGCAGAAGTTATCTAATTCGCAAGGTTGTTTAGATATAATCTAGAGAAAATTCAATTGCTTTTCAGAAGTCCAAAATCACTTTTTTTTGTTCATATACCAAAATATTAAGCCAAGTTTCATAAAAATCGTGAGAAATTTTAAGAATAAGAAAAAGTCAGGAGAAATATTTTGTAAATCGGGTTGGTGGGAGAGCGGTCGAAAATCGGGAGTCTCCCGCCTAAATCGGGAGAGTTGGCAACTCTGTGTGTGTATTTACAGAACTTTGCAAATGGAAATGGATTTCATCAGGCCACAGAATGTTCCATGGCCATCCACTGTTCACCTTTATCCAGGCAAGAAATCGTTGTACAAACGATTCAGGTGTTTCCAGGTCAGAAGGTAGCAATTGCTGCACATGAGTTATCTTGTATGTATAATAGCACAAGATGTTCTGTAAGACTTCACGCACTGTGCTATGTATATCCAACATTCGGCCAATTCCCTGTGTACTGCTGATTCCCGCATCACTGTTCATCTGTTCTTGCACATCTTCCACTGCCGCCATAGAAATTGGTTTTCATCCTCTACCTTGTTTCACATGAAATGAACTGGTCTCTTCGAATTTATCTATTATTTTCTGGATGCCATATGTGGTCACTAGGCTGGATTTTATGCCTTTTAATGGCTGGAGCATCCTAATAGCTGTTAACACATAGTTACCATTCTGACAGAAAAGCTTTGAAGCACTCAGGCAAAGTGTTATGTGTCCCTCTAATGCTCTGTATTTTTATTACAGCTATGTTTGCAGTTCATATGTCACATCTTAGCAATTTGCATACATTCAGTGAACCTTGATAACGCCATCTATTGGCAAATTTCGAAACTTTTTTTCCCCTTCACCAAACAAAATTCCATTGACTCATGACTGTTCTGGTAAAATATCAAATCATTTTGACTGATGGTTTTAATGTTAGAAGGTTTTGAAATTGCAACTTTAATTATAATCACTCTGTATATAAGTGTAGTCATTAAGTTATTCTGTAACCTACTGGCAATTTAGCTTTTATTAACATCGAGTTTATCTAACTTTAAGCAAACTATAGCTGAGTGTATATCGATACACTCAGAGAATGCATAAAATAGAAAAATGTGTATACTGACCAGTTTCTGGTTTCACTTCTACAAGAGCAGCATTACCAGATACAGATAGAACCTTGTATGAAGTAACTGCTCTTTTACCTTGCTTTGAATGGTTTTTATATGGCACATCATCAGGTATATCTGGATGAAGCACCATCTGAAAAGGAATATTAATGCTCAGTTTACTAACTGATTATTTTTTAAAATATTATTCCATGTTTCATAATTTAATTATTGCACAAGAACAGAAACTAACTATTAACTGCTTTCCTGTAGAAACTATAGTTTAGATATAAATTTCTGATACTAGTGTATTCAATGGGCACAAATAGTTCAAATTCTCCTATCTGCCAACATTGATAAAAGATAAAAGGATGCTAACTTGTTAACTTTACTGAAAACATAAACAGTATGAAAACCAATCCATTGTCAATTTGCACCACAGTAGACTGGAATAAATATATGCTTGAAAGTCTACACTACATCATTATAAAATATCAAAAAATTTACTTGCAGGATGGAGACTTCAGATAGTCCTTCAGAAAGAACTGATCATTAAATTTTTTAAAAAATAATAAAGACATATAAACTATTTCATTCTTCTTTTTCAAATTGGAAGCATATACCTTTAATGCTGAACAAAATTAAACTTCAACTAAAAATAGATAAATAAATGCATAAATTTCAATTCTGACATTTGTTTCAGCATTTCTTTTTTTGACTAGAAAATGGTATAAATATTAAACACCAAAATATTAAAAAAGTATATAACTGTTTGAAAAAAGTTTAAAGAAAAAATATTCACAGAAGATTGTAATCTGTACATAACAGCAAAATTTCATCACCATCTTTTGATTTTATTTATTTAGATCATAATGTACAAAAGAAATACCAAATTTGCAATTGATATATTACACATCATTGGGAATATATTTTGTTTTTTACAAATTTGGTACAATATAATATTTGCCACAAAATATTATTAAGAAATACGTATAAAATAACTTTTTAAGGAATTCATTTTATTTTCTTATGCTACAACAATAGTATGCAGCAACATACTTTTATAATACTGAAGATAAATAAAATATCTTAAGCATCATCAATTTACAATGATGTGCTCTTATGTTTCTTATCTTTATTTCCTGTGGACAAGATTTTATTGCTAATTGTGGGGGAAAAAAAAAAAAAAAAAAACTCTTTGAGAGTTGTTTTAAAAAAGTCCAAGTTTGATCAATGAAGAGGCAAAACTTTGTTTACTGAATGAAAAACTGAAGTATTTGCTGAATACATAGTTTGTCAAGTACAAGATTCTTCAAAAGAAGTATTCACAATATTGCTACAAATTTTGCATATATGTAAATGATTTTAGTGAAGGTATATGTGAAATTTTAGTATCTTTTGTATAATGCAACATGAAATGCTTGAAAAAGCAAAGCTCTCTTGAAAAAGTAAAGTTACAGGGGTAAATGGTTATTGTTATGTTTTTCTTTTCTGACACCAGTTGTTACATTATTTTCTTCCTTAACATTCGTACGGGGTTCATAGATTTGGAGTGAATAACGATGACACTTGATGAAGTATCGAAACACATTTTATTTGCCAGTATTGTCAGGACAGCTCCAAAACATGCTTTACAGTTGTCGAACTGTTATAGACATGCTGACATGTTCAGCAACACAGCCTTCACACTGTCAGGCAATAACGGTGGAGACAGAGTATAGCTCCTGATTCTGCTTGGTCGTTCTTGGAACTCCACGTACTTTCAAGACTCTCCACGCTACAACTCGCGATGCACTCAACGACACACAGAGCATGGCTCCTGACTCTTTGGTTCAGTCGTTCCTGGAGCTTAACATGCTCTCTCGACGATGCACTAACCGCAATACACTAAGAGACTCCTTCGGTGAACTCGATGACCCACTTGGCACTCGCTACCTGGCTGTCAACTTGATCGACTTCGCAGGGATTGATTCGCTAGACGAGACACCAACTCGATACTAACTATCTCGCACTTGACGAGGCACTCTCACTCGCCCTCTCGACGAGGCACACTCACTAACTGACTACGGACCATCAGGGTTTATATAGCTTTCGGCTAGTGTTCGAGAACATTCTGGGCTAAACCGGTAGGAATTCATTCCAGAAGGTTCTCCATCCGTCCATGGCATATTGCCAATTTTGTCACTAAATGGGCGAATTCTTGCCAAATGTGGCAACCCTGCCTTCCTGGTCATTTTACGGCAACCCTAAAACTGCTTTGCGGGAAAACCATCTTACCACGCCTGTACATTTCGTAACACTGCAACATGAAATGCTTGAAAAGCAAAGCTCTGTCGAAAAAATAAAGTTACAGGGTTAAATGGTTATATTAAAGTCTATTTAACATGGAGTTAAATGGCTATCTCACTAAACTGGTAAGGTTTCACCAAGCTGGCAATAGTTTGACAATTTGGTCCAGTCCTTGTATAACTGCAATTGGCACTGTAACTGAATAACTTTAATTGATCCGTATATGTAACATTCAAAAGCTTGTATATACATATATACAAAAGCAAAACAAATATACTTTAATTCAAATAGTCATTTAAACAACTCTCAAAAAGTGGGTGGTCTCCAATTATTCGATCCTAAACTTTTAATACCAAAAAAACGAAAATTTTTTAAAAAGACTCTTTAATATAAAATATAATCTGAGCCTTAAACTGAAAACCTATTAGAAACAAAAAATTAACAAAATGTAAACTTATTTCTGAATTTTAAAGATAACCATCTTTTTCCAAACTGTGTTTCCTTGTGAAAGAAAGTTGAATTCAAGGCTACTCTGGAGAAACAAAAATTTGTACTTTTCGGTAAAAGTCCAATAGCAATAGCAAAGTGTTCAATAGCAGAATAAAGTATTTTAGTGTGTGAAAAAAAGACGGTACTTTTCCGTTTTGCCGGCGCAAGCGATAAAGTCGCCAATAATGGTACAATTGATGCCAAACGAATATTCACGCTGGTAACCTTTTACGCCTCATTCAGATAGTTCAGTTTTATGTCTAAGGCCATTTTCGGTAATTAAATCAATTAGGATGCAATCACAGTGCTTACCCGAAGCCGAAAATATAGAAAATGTAAAGTCAAGGGTTTAAATTCATCAATTCTAATGAGAATGCATTAGCAAAGTAAAGCACTGCAGTTTTACATAATTTCTGAGTAAGCTATTCGTACGAATTGAAGTATTTCTGCATTTAAACTTATGTTCCAAATTAAGATTTAACTTGAAATTAAGTAGATAATTACTGAGAGCATTATATTTTGTAGAGTAGTTTACGTGCGATGAGATCGCTTGGGGTCACGTGATATGAACCGGCGAACACAGGATGTTGAAACCATGAAAGCATAGTAAATTCTTAAATTAATGTCTTTTACAAATTTATTTCTTTATTTATTGGCTTTTTGTAAAATTTTAAGGCGATATTAAAATGTTTATGCCTTCAAAAAAAAAAAAAAATTCTTAGAACTAACATTTTTTTATGTGTATACTGTATGATGTCGCCAATAAAGTCTGCTTGGCGAGATTTGCGCCGGCGAAACAGAAAAGTACCAAAAAGACCTATCCTATTAAACTTTGTATGTGGGAATGCAAAATGTTGGATGCAGTCTAATTTGTAATTGCTTTTGAATGTTGGATTTACATATAATGTTATTTGACTAATTTGTTTTTTGAGTGATCAATTTGCATAATGTAAAGCTTTTTTTTTTTTTTTTTTTTGAGTAGTCAATTTGGCACAATGTAATGGTTTATCCTTTTTTCCAAGTGTTTCAAATGCATGTAGGGAAAATTCTGAATACATTTGAGATTCAATTTTTTGATTTTAAGTGAATTTTAATGTATATAATGAAAATTTAATTGAATCTTTTTTCGGTTTCTGATCTCAAATGTACCAGAAGAATAAAACATGTATTCAAAACATTTAAACCAACTTTTATGAAACTTTAATTTACTTTCCCCTAATGAGTTCTGAATTAGAGTTTCAGTAACAGGAAATAATTTTTTTTTATTTTTATAATTTTGCATTTTTATTTTTCGAGTTCACTCTACTGATGAATTCTTACTTTAATATGTTTAGATACAGTGTTAAACCACTTATCCATGGTTGCAATTATTAATATTCTTGAGGAATTGCCTTGCTTTGATAACAATTTAATTTTAACTTTAGATGCTTTAAGTTTATATATGATGCATACTATATACTAAAAAGATGTCTATACTATATACATATGTGTGTGCACTTTCAATATACATACAGTATATGCATCTTTTTAATATATATATAATAGAATATCACAAATAGATATTCTCAGTTAACTTTCTGTACACTATTCGGCAAGATGCATTCACAAGTTACAAACTGATTTCCTCCACAATATATAACACTAGTAAAATCAAATAAAAGTATGTTAATGATGCTGTTAAGATTTAGTCAAACATTGCTTCAAAAGTTACTCTTAATACATTCATACTGCATTCAACAGCATCTCAAAAAGCTTAGAGTAGAACCTCAATTATGAGGCAACTGGGAGTGTAATCAGTTTGGATAATCGAATATTTGATTAACAGAGACTAAATTTCAGATCATGCTTATTTTTCTTTTAAGAAGATTTTCTGAAATTATTTATTTGAAATTTAAAAATAAGTACAGTTGTTAACATTTTGACAAAAACTTTTATGGCTATATAAAATTTGTTTTCTCAAACTAACAAATAATCTAAACAAGATTTATTTTGTGCAAAAAATATTCATAAAAAATTGGAATTAATGAATTCCTTGAAAACTGATGCAAACAATGAAATTTCCTACATGCATTATAAGGCATTTTCTCCCTTTTTTCTGCATGCCTTCGTGTTGTAACAGTATTTATATACTTTCCTTTTTTTGGCATATAATAAGAAAGAATGGGATTCTGATACTCCAATGTATTTTTCAAGAAATAGTAAAAAAGAAAAACAGGGGATAATAAACAGGGGGAGGGAGGGGATAATAATACACCTATTCTATATTGTACTAAATACTTTTTCAATAGATAATACCAGTGAAAATACGTCCATTAAAGGACTAGGTAAAGCAATAAAACATGAATCTCCATCATACAATGTATATTTGGTCATGATAAAAATGTCATGGAAAAATTGTATTGTATACATTTAGGCAGTTGTATTTTACATGTTACGTCACCATCTCATTGCATTCATTTGGTAACTTTGAAAACTATTCTTTACAAAGAGATTTTTATGAAAACTAAAACTTTACAAATTTTAATACAATACTTACTCTTGACTTTTTTTCAACAAATCCTTCAGCAATCGGAATATCAATGATGCCTGGAATTAAATAATGTTTATCAAAAAAAAAAAAAAAAAAAAGGGTTTAAATAAAAATTCACAAATACATGTAGGGAGAAAAAAAAGTGAATGACCTGACCACCTATATTTTACTCAGATTTCAAATTCAAGTTCTCATACACTGTTTCAGTGATAATGGTGATCTTACACGCATCTTCATCATTTATGGGAACTGCAAGCATGAATACAGGTATACTACTTATAACATGGTTTTGCACACCCATTTCATTCTTAAATAATAAGAAAATTACAGAAACCCTCATACAGCACCCAATACAGTTTCATTTTAGCACATTAACGAATATGCACAAACCCTCTCATAACACTGTATGCATGCACATACTTTGATAACACAATTTTTTACTCCAGACATTTACAAAAGTTATGTACTGTGCCATTATGTGAAGTACACAACAACAATGTATTTATTTATACACACAAAAATAAAACAAATTACAGAAATGTCCGCTGCTAAGGACTTTATTTGTCTGACTTATTTTCCATTTCCTCTTCACTCATTATTAACAGATGTAGGTGATCAATCATGTCACACCAAATGGGTCCATTCTGTAAATTCCTTAGTAGCCATTCATGATGGCTGAACTTCCACATTCTCTCATACTGAAATTCTCTGGAAATTCAAATTGGCTTGCTATGCTAAAGATCTTTTAATCTCCATGTGTTTAAAAGCTGTGAATAAAAACACTTTACCGGTACACCGAAGAACAAACTCAAAAGTTTGGGTGATAGGAGATTTAAAGACTGGTTTTTCAACTGCTTTGTGTCTGAGGTTGAAAACGATTTTTAAAAAAAATGAGCTTCAAGGTGCTATTACTACTAAATATACTAGATAATGTTCCAGATCACACATGGGATTTTCCATCTGAATATCACAGTACAGTTTTTACCATCAAACACTATTTTGTTGATCCAACCTTTAGATCAAGGTATTATATATGCCTTTAAAATGTACTACATAAGACAAACATTTCAATGCATTTTAGACACAACTGATTCAAAAATCAATTAATTTAATAAAAGTTTAGAAGCTTTCGATTAAAACTTGCATTAAAATCTCATTGTTTTCGGTAATAGAACTAAAAGAATCAACTTGTTTTCGGTAATAGAATTAAAAGAATCAACATTAATCAATGCATGTTGGAAGAAGACATGACCAACATGACATGAAAACTGTGAAGTTAGTGATTTTACTCTAAAAACGTTAGGGAAGGACTTAGTGAAAATTCTTGAATCATTTTTCTTGACTGAAGACTGTTGTGCCAAAAGAAGCTGAAAATTCAAAAGAAGCTGGAAAATTGCCTATCTCCATATAATAAAATTTACAATGACTTGAAAGGGCCAGCAAGCAGACTAAAACAATAGATTTTTTAAACAGGATAGAAAATACAAAAGTTTCTAACAAAGAAATGGGTTCAGAAAGTGGTGACACGTTCAACCTAAAAATACTCTTGCCACATTGTGTTGAACAGTGATGAAGAAGAAATTTAACAAAATAAACTTGAATTAAATGAGAACAGAAATTTGTGGTTTACTTATGTTTTTTTTTCACAAATATTTTCACTATGTCTGAATGTATCTATAATTTTAATAAGAATTCTTATGTTTTTGGAATGCAACCCTCTATTTTGTATTGATTGTTTGTCTCATATAAAACAGTTTCAGATAACATGGTGCTTTCTAGGTACCTATCTACTGTATTATAGGATGGATACCTGTATATGACCAGTATTGCCACTGAAATAGGTAACACCAATGCTATTTGATGTCTCTGGAGAAATTAAAGGAAACTTCTAAGAGGACAGCAGTAGGAAATTAGTAGCAGTGTTTTCAGATATTTTAGATAATTCATGGTGTGAAGATATAATGAGTATAATGCATATGAAAGCCTCTGCATATAATGCACCTGCTATTTTAAGTTCTTTACAAATTTAATACTTTCAAAATTTTCCAAGAATAAATTCAAGTATTTTTGAAATAACATTTATAAATTATATGCATTAACTGTTAAAAATAATTAACAGAACAAATTATAAAGCTATGAAATAGATAAAAATAAAAATAATAACTATCCCACACATTTATAGTATTCAACTAAACAAGCCAATATAAACTGAAAGAAAGACAGAGAAAAGATATATTTTCCACATACCTTCTTCAGGCTCAGGTACCTTTGTAGTAACTATCCAATATGTTTTTGAAATTTTACGTTGAGCAAATAATGATTTCAAATATTGTGCTGTAATTTCATTTCTAGAATAACAAATGCATTATCAGAAATACTTAACGATTATGTGTATTAAACAATACTAAATGACCATTTTTAAAGGAAACAACCAAATAAATGATTTCTACCTGATAAAAACATAAAATTAATGATAACCAGTTCTTTGCTTTGGGCGAATCTGGATTTCAAAAAAATTTATAGGAATGTTCTAATTTTGGACAACAGAGGATACGAATTTTTCTACTTTTGAATACTACTTCAATATTGTGCTGAATACTGTTATTTAATATTTTGTCTCACATATAATGCATAACATTACTTGCACGTATTTGACAGCACTTATTGATACTTAATTTAAAATAGTAAATCTGCAGTAATCTTGATATATTTCCTGTAAGTGCCTGATACTTAAATATGAATATGAGAAAAATTATATGCATTTCAAGAGTGCAAATGATTTTATTCTTAAGAATTACTAAATAAAAATTGAAATGAACCTAATATTTTGAAGCTGGACAAAGAGAGACCCAATATAGCGCTGGGAAGGATGAAGGCACTCTGTGCCCTGGGAAGGATGAAGGCAAGTTAAAATAAGAAGGCATTTGCAATGAAGAATTTTAACAACTAAAACTGAGAGTTGAAAATATTTTAAAAAGGACACTTGTCACATTTTAAACTGGGAAATGGATATAACATAAAAAAAATTATCAATAAGACTCTAAGAACTTTTTTATAGTCCAAAATTCATCACTTAAAGACCCTTAAAATACACAAAGTTAATATAATGTTTGCTAATTTTTCAAGCATATTTGTTTGCATTTATTGTATATTATTGAATACTTGTTTTGCATCTTGTAAGCTCATGTAAATTTTATTTTTATTCATCACTCTTTAAAATTTAATCACATTATGATTTATAATTATTACATTCTAATACCTAAAACCATATGGAAAACCATTAGAATTTTGTAGATATCTTAAAAAGATACTGCAGAGATGCCACTTAATATGATTGTAGTTAATGTTATAATTTGGATATCATTATGAAATTGCCAAAGTTCTGCCCGTCTGTGCACAAAATCAAGCTAGAGCTAGCAGTTCTGAATTCTGATATCAGAAATCCAGTGTAATGCTCAACATCACACATCATCTACTGACAAAATGTAACATCTGTTTTTCTTAAATAAGTAAGAAAACTGATGTGTAAATTTTCACAGGAGAATTTTAAATTTGTTTTTAAACTGCAAATACATTATGCTTCAGATTTTTCAAAAACCAGATAGTATTTCTTTTTAACTAAATAAAGCACACTAAACTACTCAAATAATGCTATATATATATATTATGATGTTTTAGTAGTAAGCACTCTTAAATTTTTATACTCTGATGTATTACTATATTAAGTAAATTTTAGTTTGCAAATAAATATTGAAAGAACCGTTAACATAGTTTTACTATTTGGCATACAAGAACAAAGCATATTAATTCTACATGAAGTACTTTTTAATATACCTTGCAAGTAACAAACATCCAGTGGTTTCTTTATCTAGCCTATGAACAGTATAAAGTTTAGGATGAGGGTTTTTCTTATCTAATTCTTGAGCCAAATCATCCAAATATGATGACAAGCAAGCATCCTTAGCAGTTTCAGATTCTGGAACAAAGTATAACATTGCTGTGATAAACAAAATAAATAAAAAATTCACATATTCTGATTATCCACAACTCCCCAATGAAAAGCCATGAAAAATACTGGTCAGGTTAACACAGCATATTACCAAAAAGTGTTCATGTGGCATGCCACAATATCAGTAAAAAGTATTTATGAGGCAGCTAAGGTATCCATATAGCAACATGTGTTTGAGTACACATGGATTTGCAGTTTTGAAATACAACAGTTCATTTTTCTAATTAGCATTTCTTTTTATATCGAGTACATTAGTTTTTGTCTTAATGAATCATAATGGGACTGTAGAGTTTGACCTCTTTTATTTTCATTATGTTAGAATGCACAACTGGAGAGAAATGTTGGAATGCATGTCGAAGTTTCAATTATTCTTGGGTGATCGTGAGTATGGCCAGCGAGTAATACTGCTGTTGTATGCAATACTGAGTTTTCAGAAGTGTCTAATGTTCTTTTTACTGAAAACAAATTGCTATGTACAAGGACAGAACAATAGCATAACAAATTAGAGAAGTATTTTACAGAAAAGGTAAGAGTTTATTTTTTTAAATAATGAATCATTGGAATAGCCATAAAGATACCCAAACAAATGTTTTCTTCATATTCAATAATGAGTTTGTGAATGCTATCTAAAGTTGTCAACGAGTTTGTGACTTTTTGGTGGGGGTGGAATAATCAGAAAGAACAGTAAAATTTATAATGCAATTTGGTAATTAAATACACAAGCATACATTAAAAAAAATGAAAAAGATATAAGCTGAATTCTTACCATGAATCACTAAATTGTATGGCTTATTGAGAACAATGACATTATCTATAAAAAACCAAAATACATATATAAGAAATATATATATATAAGAATAAATCACAAATGACAAAGAAAATAAGAATGAGAGAGAAAGTAAACAATGAAATTTACCATCAGAATACAGAACTCTTTGAGTTAGCATTTCTAAGATTTCATCTCGAGTAAAATTCAATAAGTTAGGGACTTGATGTTTTAAAATTCTAAAACCTTTACTATCTCGTAAATCTTCATCAGGAACAGGAAGCTTACCTAAAAACAAAACAATCCAATTAATAAAAGCAAATTCAGCTCAAGAAATAAAAAAAATCTATTTTTATAATTTATATTATAATAAAGAAAATTTCTTTAAGGCCTTACTGTTTTCAGTTTTGTTAAAAACCCAGTTGTAATAAAATACAGGCTGTTACCAATCGATGATATATAAGAAGTTTTTTTTTTTTTTTTTTTTAAATTCGTATAAGAAAGTGTATTGAGCTACTGGTACTATCTATTGATGAAACAAGAAAATAAAAACATAATTTCCTTAAACGCTGAGAGTAAAGATAGATTGGAAGTAGGGTCGTTAACTAAAACAGAAAAAAAAAATTTTTTTTTAATGTGAAATACCTCTAGAAAAACTAATGAAAGATATTTTTTGAATAATTTTTCCTGCAGAAAAATGGAAAGTTTGATTTTCTAACTAACCCTGCTGGGCAACAGAAGATTTCTGTGTTTCCTTTTTCTCAGCATACATCTCATGTTCCTTAATGCAAAATTAGTTTGCCCAATGTAAATTAAACTACACTGGCAAGAAATCTTGTAAATACCCCAGGAATTCATATCCAGAATGGGGGACCTTAAGTATGGAACTGGGAATTTTATTGATAGAAGAAAAATGATCTGAAAGTTAAACTTCTGTAGAATACACGCAATTTTATAGCTAATCGATGGAAAGGAAGGAATAGCAACAAAATTCTTGTAATTTCCTAAGATGAGGGATGTCTTTTGATGTATTAAGATGAGAATTTTTTAAGTACTTGGTTAGTAATGTTGGGTGAAAAACCCCTCTCAAAAAACAACTACTTTAAAGTAATTTACCTATTTCTTGATCAAGAGCCAGTTTGGAGGAGCAAACTTGAAATGCATTAAAAAAAAAAACTAAATGAAATGAAGCTAATTTCTGTTTAGTCGAATGACATGATTTGAAGTGTGGTGGAAGGCAAACCAATAAAGGTTTACGGTAAACAGTAGTAGTACTGAGGTTGAATATGTTACATGTAACTAAAATGTCAAAGAATGGAAGAGAATTGGATGCCTCAAGTTCAAAAGTGAACTGAATAGAAGGATCAATAGAATTCATTATTGAAAAAAATGTTATTTAAATCATCTTTATAACCATCAAACAGGGTAAAAGTATCAGCAAGGATGGGACTAAAAGGGCTTCCCATGGCCAATCCCTCAGTTGCTTGTAATATTTATTTTGGAAAACAAAATGAGTTTGATTCAAACACAGTAAAGGAAATTAGCTCATCAATTTCTATGCAGGAGAAATGAAATTCACAAAATCTGGTTTCTAGACATCTTAATGCACCTTCCGCTGGAACACTACTGCGTAATGTTATCATTATCGTTGGTTATCAGCACAGTTGGTCAGAAAATCACACTTTCCATTTTTCTGCAGCAAGAATTACTTTAAAAAAAAAAATCTTCCATTGGTGAATTACATTTTCTAGCGGGGGTAAAAAAAAAAAAAAAAAAAAAAAAAAAAACCTTCTGTTCTAGTTAACAACCCTAATTCCAATCCATCTTTATCCTCAACCTTTAAGGAAATTCTGTTTTAGTTTTCTTGTTTCATCAATAGATGGCATCAGACAGCTTCTGCCATCTGCAGGAAAAAAAAAAAAAAAAAAAAAAAATAATGAAAGTTTGATGAAAAAAAAGTGTATGCAACTTACAATATTAAGCAGCATATTGAAAAAGAGTATTAATCTGAACAGCAGGGCTGTATGCAAGAAGAAGAGAGAGGTTCAGGTATGTGCATATTTCATATTCATAAAAATTTATTGAAAAAGTCTATTTATATAACTTTTATTTTTATATCCCCCCTCCCCTGAAAATATCCAGCCTAACTGAAACGAAATCCTGCACGTGATCCAGCACCGCATATAAAATTCATCCGCTTTATACAATCAAATAACATCAGAACAGACATGATCATATTAAGCAGTACCCACTGTGCATATCTTCAGTTAATAATTTATTAGTAGAAAACATAGAATTACTTTTTATGGATTATAAAATTAATTACATTTAATTTTTGGAAGCATATAAAATATTTATTAATTCAAGACTGGATTAATAAATTTGAATTAAGGTAAACATATAAGGAATATCTGCTCAGCTATATAAAAAGTAAACTTAACTCAGTGGCACAACAGGCTCTAGCAGGCCATGGACTGCAGCACGCCCAATATCTGTTTTCCTGACCATGGGCTCCGGCATGCATGAGCATATGCCTTGGACAAGTAGTCAGTTTGTTGTAGACCCCACGCTATTGATGAAAGGCGGAGTCAAACAATGCCTAACCTGGGGATTGAGTCTCGGACCTGTGGTGCTGCTGTGACTAAAATGTACCATGGAGAAAAAAATGCTGCCATTCTATAAAAATGACATTATCATTAATTCTTCAAGGGTGATACGCACAAAAATTCTGTATATAAAGATATCCTTCCAATTCATTGAACATGAAAATTTATGTCATATCCCAATTTTTCTGATTTCGGGTTCGACTACAATTTCTGATATTGAAAGAAAATGAGAGGGTCATTTTTGGAATTAGAAACAAGAAAAAAATACTGATGATAGTTTGGGGAACTTTAAAATTTCAGGGCCAAATCCATAATGCTTGGAGGGTTAACGTCTGTGCCATATCAGGGATTCGACTCTGAGCCCCGTACAGCACTCTGCTGATTGTTAGCAAGATAAAAATTTGGCATGGTGCTATCCATCATATCAATTAAGATGAACTAACTTAACATTTAGAGCTAAGAATACAATTTATATAGCAATAAAATTAGTGCAAATAAGTTGCAATGTTCAAGAACTCACAACAAACTGTCAGACACAATGCAAATGAAACTCAACAAAAAGCATCCTTTTACCAAACTCATTATTCTAATGTTACATATACAAAACAGATACATTGTTAAATATAAAGAATAGCAATAATTTAAAATTATTTATTAAACAAAAAATAAATTAGGCTATAAATGATTATAAAACATACAGATATATGATCAGAAACATTTGTCATTAAAAAAAAAAAAAAATCAGCCGAAAATGTTTGCCAAATGTAACAATTGCAATTGTTAGAACACACAAAACAAATGTTTGATACCAACTGGTGTCTCTTTAACTGAAAAGTATCAAAACAAGAAATAAAGCTATGCCCTACCTTTTTTTATTTCATGATGAATTACTTTTTTTTCTTTTCTTAATTTTTCTACATAATCATGTGCAGTTTCAAGTTTAGCAACTTGATTTTGTGTATCATCTTTTACAGAAGCCCCACTCAATTCATCACTCAAATTTACATTACGTATTGATCTTTTTCGAGATCCTGTTTCTGTTTTAGGAATATTTGGTGCATTTATTTCCTGTGTATGTAATGAGTTTTTTTCAGACTCATATTGCTCAGTTTTGGAAATAATGTGGTTTAAAGAGCTTTCAAAACCTGATTTGGACTCTGTAGAGGGTAACACTTTTTCTCTTGATTGCAGACCTTCATTGGATATTTTATTTTGATAGATAGCAGCTGTTTCATCACATGACATAGAACTCAGACTTTTTTGGGGTAATGAGTTTAATACAGCATCATTTTGCTGGTATGAATTCAAACCAATATCTAAATGTTTATCCTTATCCTCTACTAAATTTTGAAAACATAATTCATCAAGAAAACTTAACTTTTGTGCTTTAGAAGGCTCATAAGAAGGATGAGAATTTTGCTTCCCTTTAAAATTTACACCTCTTTTAGGGATATCTAATGTTACTTCTTTTTCCTGAACTTCATATGGATATGCATCACTTAATTCTCCATCTGTTTTGTCAAAAGAGGAAGCAAAAGGTGAATTTTCATTCCTTTCTACATCCTGTATTTCATTTCCTTTAATATCTGTGAATTTAGACTTAATATTAAATTTCTCAGGATGTAAAATACTTTCTTCTTTTTCAACAGTTGCATGGGATCCAGCTTCTAGCAAATCATTACTTTGCAGTTGTTGGTTTTGAAAATAAACTTCATCTATAAAGCTAAAACTATCATTTGTAGTAGCTGTCTTTGAATGACAACTGACATTCTCATCCTTTATTATATTATCATGAAAATAACACTCATCAATGAAGCTCCCATTATCTTTAATATCAGCTTTATTTATGCAATGATCAGCAACCTCATTTTTCACACTATTTTGAGAATACCTCTCATCTGCAACATTTTCTTTACAGTTAGATATTACAGAATTCCATTTATTAGAATTATTTTTTAGCTCATAGTCTTCAAAATCACTCACAAAAATGTTTTTTTTATTTACAGCAGGATCATGAGCATAATCTCGAGTAGCAATCGGCAGCTCTGAAGTGGTAAGCATTTCACAAGAACTGGAAGGCTTATCTGAATTATAATTAAATACTTTGTCGACATTTGAAAGATTTTCATGTACCTGAACAAAAGTTTTCTCACTTTCACTACCTTCAACTCTGGCAGATTTTTTTTCAATAGCGATGGATTCGTTTTCTTTGCTAGTAAAGATTGTATCATGCGTTGTTTTACTAGGAGTACTACGTCTTTTGCTTATAATTACAGGATTAATATCAGAATCATACTGGCCATGATACTTAGGCACATTTTCAGAATCACGACGCACAAGACCAAAAGCTATGCTATGAAGTTTTTCTTCTTCTTTTACTTCCCGCTTTTTAAGTTCCAATAAACTCCTCCCATCTTTATGTGAAGACGATTTCTCGTCGATAATAATTACACCTTCGTCGCTTTCAATTCCATAAAAATTTCGATTACTACTAACGGTATGATCAGACGCAGTTCTTTGCTGCAAGTTATCTCTCACATCTGTATCTGGCTTTCGGACAGTAGCTGCTGCTCTTCTAACTAACGAAGCACAAGTGAGATGAAAATCTCGTATAGTAATAAATTTTACACTAGCAGCTGCGTATTCCAAGTATATTTTGCGCATCAGTAAGTATCTTCCACTCAGAAGCATTTCACTAATATTAAATTATTTGATTTAAATGTTATTTTATGGTGAATGTAAGCAGTTTGCAATAACTTTTTAAAAAAGTACTCAATGAGATTTATTAACAGGATACATAAGTACTTAGAGTAGTAATATAAAATAATATAGTTTATAATATAAAATAATTTATTTTTTAAATAACAATAAGCTAACTAATTTCATTTTAATAAGCATTATTTTTCTCAGATCGGCACTTATTTGAACTCGATACACATGCAGCAATTTCAAAGGCATGTTTACATTCATACAAGAGAAATAAAATACGAGTTTAGTTGTTTCGATGTTGGGATAACTTTGTCATTTCATTGCTGATAACAAAGATTTTTAAAGAAGTTTTATAAAATCCTTGATAACATAATTTATTACACCAATTTTTTAATTATAGTTTATTTTAAGAAACAATTTTGTCTGTTTTAATTTTTAAATTCAGTTGAAAGAAAAAGAAAAAACTACTGAATAATTTTTTAATTTATACGGCGTCTGCTGCAATATTTGTAAACAGACGCTGGATGAATGAAGACATTCTGTCGGGTGGTATTCCTCTTGCAGTGAATTATGCAATCCAAATAATGTCTTTAGAATGGTGGCAGAAAAATGTAATATATCACATTTATCTTCCTTCTTTCAAAGATAGCAACGATGACGGCATTGGGGATATCCGAGGTGAATTTTAATATCCTGATTCTTTCATTTATATCTTCTTGATTCAACACTAATCGGATAAATATTTCATTATTTCAGGTTTGCTTTCCAAACTGAATTACATAGAATACCTTAACGTTAAAACTTTATTGCTGAGTCCTTTTTACCCATCTCCTATGAAAGACAATGGTTATGATATCACATCTTTCACTGATGTTGATCCTAAATATGGCAACTTATCCGATTTTGAAGACCTTATGCAGGAAGTAAAGAGACGAGGTATTTTTTTTTTAATTTTAGGTTGACCTGCATTAAGTGTGTATAAGTAAAAAGTTGATTAAAATATTGTTGTCCAACGGGGAAACAAAATCCTTGTAATTCCTTTATTTATTATAAAGATCAACCGAAATTCCTTAGATAATTTAAAAAATTTTTCATGTTTATAATTTGGAACAGATATTGTTTTATTGAAAATGAGCAAATCTGTTAATGCATTCGTCAGGAGTGGCCATTATTTATTGGTCATATACCTGTCTCATAACCAAAAATGTTGGCTGGCGGCCAACAAATTTTTACCTCTGTGAGATAAGGATGTTCTGTTTCAATTTTGATATAGGCATTAGGTGATGGATTTGAGGGTCCTTCACCCTTTTTGCGAGCTTTTGCCAGTATTTTAATTGCCTCCATGGCACACCGACACTATATACTTCTTGCTATACTATATATATATCCCTCCAGGATTTGATCCCCGATCAGTAATACAGTAGTTAATAAGCATTAACTATTATTCAGTTTGGAACAGATGTAATATAATCTGGTTTTCGTGCCTTTTTTGCTTGTTGATAAAATATTTGGTCTACCGAAAAGTTTTGTCTGTTTCTATGATAACAATTTTCGATACGTAAGCACATGTTTATTTGGCGCATGTTTGGCTCTCTATTTTTATCCCTTAATGTATACATACTGAAGAAGAAAATTAACTAAAACAAAGTTGATTCACGTTAGTCTTTAAGTGGGAAGCAACAGTGTACCTATGGTTACTTATAAAGTTCATTTACATCACTGTATTTTATGGTTGATCTTTAAATTATGGTAACTTGGCAATTTTTTGGCGAAAATTTGGTGACCAACTCTGCTACAGCAACCCTCTATTTTTTTTTCCCCGCCGCCATTTTGTCTTCACAAAGTAAAGACATGTTTCTTTTCTTTTTATTTACTGAACACTTTTTCCAACAATCTACTAGCCAAATTACACTTATACTAGATATACTAGAAATTTTATCTAACAAAACTGCTTAACCATGACAAATATTCACTGCAAAATTGGGAAAAAGTGCACAATCGCAAACTCCTTGCACGTTTTTCACAATAACACATACACATAAACCATGTACACGTCGACTTATTTTTACTTAAAAAAACATCCCAGAATTGCACAAAAATGGCATTGCGCACACTCTTCACTATATCCATGTACACTGCTTTTTTCTCATAAATTAGAAAAATTTCACGAAAATGCATGAAAATACTCAACGTATACTACTCAAACATATTCCAAAATACTAGAAACATATAACTCACAAAATCACGATCATTAAATTAAAATATAATTAAATTAAAAAACACTACTTAAAATATAAATAAGCACATACATTAAATTAATAAAAATTAGATTACAATCCTAATTACTTTAAACTAAATCATTGCTAATGACAATTTTCCAATAATACCATTTTAATTTATTTACTCCTTACATTTAGAACAATGCATAAAAATAAATTAAATGATTGAAAATACTAACTTACCTAATCTTAAATGATTAAAAATACTAACTTACCTAATCTTCTTCAGAATCTTCATTACGTCGCTGCAGTACTACTGCTAATTTCTAAATCCTAAATCCAATAGTCATTTGGAAGTCTATTCACCAAGTAATAAGAAATTAATAAAATTTCACCTATACACAAACTACTTTCAGCAAACCACGTACACTTCCTTACACTCCTTTTCACAAAATGTCCATTTTCACCATATTTCTTGCACTGCCATTTAAACTTGTAATATCCTTCCTTCACACAATCTCACTTATTATATTATCAGATAAACGCATTAAAAATTTAGAATTCACTTACATAGCGCCATGCAATCCAAAAATTAATCAACTATTTCACACAACACACAATGAGCTTTTCCAATTAACCCCCCTTTTCCCGATTAAAGAACTTTCCTTCGTCCTTAATGTCACATTTCACACAACACAGAATATAGCTAAATACGGAATTTCCAGATTTCCCCCCTTTTCCGTTAAACAACTGTAATTCGTCCATTAATGTCACATGACATATCTTATGACTCTCATTTCCCTCACACAAATAATGCGTAATCGGAACTGAGTGCTTCTCACAATATTACAAAAGTCTTAGGTAGTAACCTTTATCACCTCCAAAATGTCGCCAAACTACCAGTTACCATATTCCAAAGATCAGCCTATTTTATATGCGTTTCAACAAGGAAGAAATGCTACAGAAGCATGTAGAAATTTATTGAAAGTGCTTGGTGAAGGTACACTTTCTGATAATACATGCAGAAGATGGTTCGAAAAAATTGAAGCAATTGATTTCAACCTTTTTGATAAGCCATGTTCTGGGCTACCATCTTTGATCGATGATGATATTATTAAGATTATGTTGAAGCAAGTAGCTTTTCTGACTACATCGGAGATCGCAGAAAATCTTAATCGAGTTCATCAAACTATTTCGGGCCATATTCGGAAGATCTTATGGTAAAAGTATATTATAGGGTACCCCTTGGCGATTTTTGGCGGTACATGGATACCGAGTTTGTGCAGTGCTTTGACTTGTTATTTTGGCCTGTGTAGCGGTGATTTTTGGCGAAAAATTTGCAACTACGCAAGTCAAAATAATAAGTCAAAGAATTGCACAAACTCGGTATCCATGTACACATTGACCTATTTTCACTTTAAAAAAAATCCTCGAATTTCACAAAAATGACATGGTGCACTCCCTTGATTTTATCCATGTACATGTCGACCTATTTTTACTTTAAAAAAATCCAAGAATTGCACAAACTTGCACTGTGCACACCCTTCACTTTGTCCATGTATGCATCAATATATTGTCACTTAAAAAGGCAAAGAAGCACCAATTCTACAATACAGGCAAACAAAAAATGCATAATCTCAATAAAATAACATAAAAAAGGAAAAACATATTATACATTTCAGCACTACAAAAAGCAAATATCCACTTACCCTATTTCGAAGTTTCTTCATCTTTACTCTGTGGCATGCAAAATTCCTTAACAGCATCCAAAAACTTCCTAAAATTATCTGAACTACAATCCGTATATCCATGTCGCCACAGAAATTCACAAAAATAAGAGTCAAAAATATACTACGTAGCTCCGGACTATAGCTACTAAGTAAGCCTTCATTTACACAATTAATTAACTCAATTAATGCACTTTTCCCCTTTTGTTCCAAATTGTACAGAAACTTCAAATTAATTCTACTACATTCAGTCATTGTACCGTCTAAACAATGAAACAAGCAATGTACTTCCTAAGCAACACACACCACAAAAGCCTTTGCAAAACATCCCATGATTCAAAATTTCTCAGAATAATGCAAACGATTACATCATAATAGGGTTTCCATAACATTCAACTACTCAGGTTACCATAAATGATACAACAACTTGGCGAAAAACGAAACAACTTCGCAATAATACAAGGTGTAACTTAAACTCTACCCGATATTATTGGTGTGAAAATATTCAAGATGGGTGCCACATGAATTAAGTGGGAAGAATTTGGATGATCGAGTTGTCATATTCACTTCTCTGCTTGCTCAGAACAAAATTGAGCCCTTCTTGAACAGGATGATAACTGGGGATGAAAAGTGAATTAACTACAAAAACATCGTAAGGAAAAGGGCATGTTGTGAACCCGGAAAACCTAGCCCTTCCAGCTCTAAACCAAATTTGAATAAGAGAATGTTGTGTATATGGTGAGACATTCGAGGACCAATACATTATGAGCTTTTGAAACCGAATGAAAAGCTCAATTTGGAGAAGTATTGCCAACAACTGGATAATTTAAAGACAGCATCAGTCCAAGAAAAGAGGCTGCCAGTGTTCAAATGGAAGGACATTATACTGCATCATGATAATGGCAGGCCACATGTTGATTTGGGGACTTGTCAAAAAATGGCAGAAATAGTCTTGGAAATTCCGTCACATCCACCATATTTCCCAAACTTAGCACTCTCAGACTATTACTTGTTTTTGTCCTTATAAAATTTTTTGAAGGGCAAAAAATTCAAAAATGAAGAAGATATCGAACAAGTACTGGTTCAATTTTTCGTATCAAAAAATAAACATTTTTCAAAAATGGGATGTACAAATTGCCCTCACCCTGGCAAGAAGTCATTAATAACAATGGCAATTATATTATTTAATAAAATTTATTGCCGGTAAGAAGAATTTGCATTTTGTTTTATTCCAAAAACGGACAGAACTTTCCGGTAGACCGAATATGTTTCTGAAGTCCTGTTATGCTGAAATTTGTCTCTTGAAATTGTGAAAAAGATAGGAATATCTATATTAAGTAGAATCAATTAGCAGTCAGGTGATAATAAAGATAGTCAGATGAGAAGTTAATTACAATTATAGATCATCTGACATACTGAAAATGCATTGCCATGAAAGTGTAAGTAATATGCACAGTGGTGTAAATAATAAGAAAAATTAAATTTACATGAAATGGTTACAACACTAAAACATATCCAAATTACTTCAGAACTATGTTGTTAACTAGTTCAAAGCAATTTCCGTGTTCTAAAAAAATGTATCTGAGTGTAAGTAACAAAATGATGCAGCTACATTATAAAACCCTCTTTTTTTAATTAAATATTTAAAAAAATGTTTCTGATAAATTTATTAAACATTAACATGTTTATTATGAATAAAATCTTCATTGATCAGCATGATTTACAAAATATTAAACACAATTATTATTGTGTATTATAACTCAGGATTTACAAAATTAATAAAAAATAACTTCTACGTAATATATAAATCTTTTAATGAACCACTTTATGTATTGAGTAAGAATATTAATAATAGATAAAGAAAAAGCTTCTTTATTATGTACTCCTTTCATTAGGCACTACAAAACAAAATGGGGATGCTCCATGGAGGGCCTTTTTAAGGGAAACTAGCTCATATGCATGGGGTAAACCATGATAATGACCATGCAGCCAGCGCTTTTGCCAGAATTTGAGTCACCAACCAAACTGCCTAAACTTTTTTAACTAGTAATGAAAAGAAAGAAACGTCTCGTCTAATTGTCTCTAAGAAACCAGAGATACCCAAGTTGATAGACTCAAAGGAAGTGACTGAGGTGGTGAGTGGTTCAGGAGCTCCAGGGCATTGAATGGCATTCTTCAGACAAATAACTTTCAGAAGTAACTGGACTATACAGTGTTGGTGTAAAAACCAAAGTGTTAAGTAAATTAAATATGAAGAAACACCTCTTGAACATAAATCAATTTCTTTTATATCTGAGATTCTCTCGGACATTAAAAAAAAGTGCAGACACCCAATGGGATAGAAACTCCACAGTCATAAGTCGAGTGAAGATAGAATAGAGTGGCTTGGTGCCAGAGACAGATCTATTGGCAGACTCCCATTTAGAAAATATCTAGAAAGAGAAGCCTATTCCTCTAGGAGGAAAAAAAATCATCTCTTTTAAGGATGAATTTCTTCTTTTTTTATGGTGGTTTCTCATTACATCATTTTTTTCCTCCTCATGTGCACTGGCATTAATTTACCAGCCCTCACTAAGAGCGGCACAGATTGATTTCATGAACAAAATTCCCTTCTGCAAGCATGCAGAAGTTTAAATTCCGTTTTAAAGCGAGCAGCCACCACATTTCAACAAAATCCCCCAAAGCAAGGAAAAATTCCGAATTCTACACCCAAAACAAAATAATAATAATAATAATTAAAAAAAAAAAAAGAAAGAAACTTGTTTTTTTCACACAATCAGTTCAACTGCTGTCTGAATAAACTTCAAGGCCAACCCCTTTGAAACAGGATGTGAGTAGGTCACTTTGAGCTAAAAGGCATTAAAAGTGATCATTTTTTGAGCTCCACGATATCAGGCATTCCTGATGAAAATATATACATTTTTCTTTTCTAATTCTTGATACAGTTAACTAAGTTAACAGATATAGACTCATTAGAAAGGCAAAATTTTGCTGCATAAGGTACTATATAAATTTCAAATAGGTTAATCAGTAATTAGTATTTTTAAATTGAAACAACACATTGTCTTTCCTACTGAACTGCAATTACTACAAGCTGATAATCTGATATCTGTACTCTGATAAAACCAGTGGAATAAATGAATTACTAATACCCCTAATTAAAGAATGTAATGAATGTGTACCCAAAATTTGGAATAAGGTTTTAATGGATTAATTAGTTTAAATTAATTTAATTTGACTACCAACACTTGCAAGATGTACAAAAAATTGCCTTTTTGATTTTAGAATATATAATCCAAGATCTTTTAATCTTTTAATTATTTGTCAATGTTCATTGCCATATTAAAGATGAAAAATGGCGGCCATCATTTTTAGTGAGCCTAAGGTCTACATTTTCTGGATGTTTTTCTGCTAATAATACAGTTTGGCTGCTTAAAAGAATTGTTGCTAATCTTTAAATTTTTTTATATGACTGGCCATCTGCCTGGGTCCAGCAAATCAAAAGTTTTTAAGTCTGCATCTTCCTGTAGCCCATCCCTACCTAAATTAGGTGATTCTTTATATCCTGGCTTCACGTCCTCCAGCTGTTCATTTGAAGTGGATGAAAGGTTGTTCTCTCAAGCTCTGACTGTTTGGGTTTGTAGATGATAGATGAAGATTCTTCATCTTGGTCATGCAAATTGCAAGAAACGTTAATTTCCTCTAGAATGGCAGCATCATCGGAAATTATGACAGGGCAATTTGTGAATAGTTCCCTTCTGTCGTGAAACCATTTTTTTTCTTAGCTGCAATTTGTTTTCCCTCTTTGGTTCTTTTTATATATTTCACTTCTTGGAGTTTTTTGCTCATGATTTTGTTTACTTTAAATGAAATACATTATGACTTGCCTTAATAAGAATAATTAAAAACTGATGTAATTGCTCTTGACAGTCCTAGGACTGCATCCGTGGGCACACATGCTAATTAAGTGGTTGCATCTCGCTACATATAGTGTGGACTATTGAAAGCAGGCAGGCATATTTAAAAATAAATAAATAAATAAAATAATAAAAATAGAACAAAAAAATCTGAAAGGTTTCAGATTTTACATTACGCCCAAAGGGTTTTTTTTAATGTTTTGTTTGTTATTTATTAAATATCATGTCTTTGCACTTAAACCATAAAATTCAATTCAACAGTATTATTACAAATTGCTTTTTAAATGAGCATATCTTTAGAATTTCTGAAACACAGACTCGCATGCTGGAGATAAAAATGTTTTTTTCGTACAGTTTTGCCATTGCTTGCTTTGGAATCATTGAGTTTGTTAATCAAAAATTCATTAAAGTATTATAAAATATGAAATTGACAATAAAAAAAATTCTTAATTCCAAATCAGGCTTCCATATTCAGTGGAGGATTATGTTATTCAAAATTGGATGGCTCTAGGTGCTGTTGTTTTATCACAATGTGAGAAACATGCATGCATTTAAGCAGACTCTTCATTATTTAATTTCTTTAAATATAACACAGGGCGATAATATTTGGTGTAGTTCTAAAAAGCCAAAATGCACATTGTCATTCCAACTAAAGTCAAAGGCAAGCCTAAGATGTCAACAGGCTACAAAAAATCTAAATGTCTTGTTTCATTTCGTGGACGCACAGTTCTTGTTGACAGTCTGTTGCATAAGCTTTGTGTACTTTAATTTGAATTATTTTGCTGGTCCAAGGTTAACTTTTATTGGGTATCGTTTTAGTAAATAGTTACAATGCTTCTCCATTTGACAAGAGGATTTGCTATGGAAATGAAGCACATCAAAGCTCTGACCTTGTCAGTGATGTCTGGAATTTGTCTGTTACACTCGTTCAGGTTTTATATTTATAGTCTTAATCATGTATAATTTTTTTGTAATGCTTCTCTTAAAAGGGATTTTTAAAAAGGAAACTGCTAATGTTGTAACAAAATTAGACTGATGTTGAAGTAAAATTAGACCCTATTCCAAACATGATTCAGTGCCACACTTGAAGTTACTGCCCAGCGCAGGGATCCTGGCTTGCATCCCCAGACAGATCCAAACAATATATACTGAACTAAACCTGAATATAAAACACTTTGTTATAGTTATTTTTTTAGCTAGTGTATTTATTATACCTTTATTACCTTTATTAATTTTGCTTTTTTGTTTAAAAAGATGCTCTGTATAATTACATAAGCTTTCTTCCAAAGATTTGGAAATGCTCAAATCCATTCTTATGTGAATTAATAATAACTGCTTTTGTATTTTATACTTATAAAAGGATTCACAAGAGTGCAGTGTTTTCATAAAATAGGAAAAATCAAACCGTGAAAAGATTACCCATGTTTGATCATTGAAGGAGACTAGCTTTCTTCCACTAGAATGATCAGATCTGTTAAACATAAAAACTGAATCCTTTTCTTTAGAAAAATGTGGATTTGAGCTCTTCAGTATCAGTCATAAATAGTTTTATAGATCCAAAAATTGACCTCTGACAAAAATATTACGAGCATCATATTTAGCAAATGACATTTTTTGCTTCTAAGCATCTGAAAATAAGTTCCTCTGTGAATAATTGATAAATATCCTGGATTTTGATAACAATTTTTCCTTTATATTAAACAAAAGAAATCACATTAATAATTTCTTGTTTATTACTTTAAAATATTTTTTTCCACATTAGATTTGAATATTATTGTGGATTTCGTGGCTAATCACACTAGCAATCAACATCCATGGTTCACAAAAAGTGTTGCAAAAGTACAACCTTACAGTGATTTTTATGTATGGAGTGATCCAAAGCCAGGACTTGGAAAAGATGAAATTTCACCTCCAAATAACTGGGTAAAAATGGACTTGTTATTATTTTGAGTTTAGAATTATATTTCGTGTATGTAGAAATGTTATTATATTTTATTTCTTTTCATTAATTCATTATAGCTTTTGTGATAACTTTTATTAAACTGAAATGTTATTTGTTACCAAGTTGAATTTCAAATATGTAATCTCATTTATATAAAACAAATTTAGAAGCAAGCAGCATCTGTTTGAATTGCGTTAATAAAAGTATTACTACATGTTAGGCGTACTGGAATATTTTGTATAGAATCTACGAACTTTTTTGTGGTAATTCACTTTTGTAATTTATTATGCATTTTTATGCATGTAATAAATTAACTACTATAGTATATATGTATTTTATGCATATAATAAATGAATGATATATTATGTGCTGCATATGAATGTTTCTCTCTGTTTGTAGCTTAGTGTATTTGGAGGATCTGCCTGGGCATGGAATAATGAAAGGAAACAGTTTTATTATCATCAATTCTTACCTGAACAACCTGATCTTAATTATCGTAATCCATTAGTCAAGGGGAAAATGAAGGTTAGTGTTTTCTGTCTTTTATTTATGGGAATTTTTGTATATTTTTATTTCATACTTGTAAACACAGTAGAGGATTAAAATTCTGCACAGCCTGGGACTTGAGATCTTGCAGACTTTAGAATTCTATGGATTTTAGATGTTGTTGTCTTGTCCCAGAAGTCAGTGCAGAGGAGTTAAATAGGATCGAAAATATCCAGAACAGCCACAGCAACATCAATAATTTTTGAAGATTAGATCTTCATTCCTTTAAAGTGTTTTCTCCTCAGTCTGGCTATGGTAGTGGAAATGACACGGTTACAATTTAGGGCAGGAATGGCTTCTTGATTGATTGGGTGATAAGTCTTCGGCTGGCTATTGCATCAGTATCAGTAAGGGTTAAGCTGTTGGAAAGTTAAGAACTATTTTGAGCATCTTTAACAAGGCCATCAACCTGCTCATTTCCATAAATATCAACGTGTGCTGGTATCCACTGTAGTGTGCAGGTCTTTTGGACTGTAGTAAAATTAGTCCAAAGGACCTGCACACTACAGTGGATACCAGCACATGTATCCACTGTAGTGTGCAGGTCCTTTGGACTAGTAGTAAAATTGTATTTGATCTGAATTATCTTCTACTGTAGTCATTTATAGAACGTCTTTAGAAGATTGAAGCAATGTTTAATAAAATACTATCTGCATTTAATTTTGTTTTACATCAGCATAGTGTACATTTTAAAGTTTATCCACACATGAATTTATTTACTTACATATTAACGCAAGCACTTTCACAATTTTTAATAGATGAAAAAAAGAAGGATGACAGAAGTCAGCACTCGGTTCATTTGCAATAATTCTCTTAATACATGCATAAATACTAATAAATGTATGCTTTACATTCTAATTAGACATTTGTCCTGAAAATCAATAAATAAATCTACATAAAAAGCTTTTTTTTTTTTTTTTTTTTTGTGTGTGTGTGTGTGTGTTTTGGTGGAAATGTAGTGTGATTGCTTTAACAAAAGATGTAATGCAAATATACTCAAATTGTTTCCTTTAGCAATTTTGCAGCCAAGTACTGTATTCCCACAGAAATGTTGCTGTAGTTTCTTCTCTTGGTAGCAAATTCCATAAACACATGTTTTATAATCAAGATTAAAGTAACAAATATCATGAATTATCTATAAAAACAATTAATTGAACTCAGAATGCAACAAATGCAAAAAGAACAGGACAACAGAATAACAACAGAAACAACAGAATGCAAAAAGAATATACCAAAAATGGTCACATTCTTGTACTGAAGAAATGTTATGAGCATAGTTGCCTAAAGAATTATTATACACAAGGTTCCCAGAATTTAGCTCATTCTAAACATTTGGCACCTTTTAAGAGGGTGGTTGCACTAATACCCTAGTACCAATTATTACATGTGTATATGATTTATTAAATTTATTTCTGTTCTATTTAAAGGGTATTATAATAAATTAAAGCTTTCTTTCTCTACTCAGGATTTTCTTAGTATAAAAGTATAAGACAATTAACAAAATGAAATTAGCCATTTAGAATATTTAATTAAATGCTAATATATTTTACATCAGGATTGTATATTTAATAACTCAGTAATCTTAATCATGCATTATAAAATAAATTTAAGTCAATCTGAAGTTCTTTTGAAATTTCATTGCATCTCAGTATGAAAACCTTCTGGAAAGTCTTGGGTTTTGTGAGAGGACTCTTTGTTTTTCATATTTTAAGGTTGGTATATGATATTGAGTCACAATGCTTGATACAATTTACAGTGTAAGATTGCTATCTCTGGCATGCTTGCACGCATATTGTCAGCTGCCTTGTTAAGAAAAGATGAGCCAAATTTCAAATGCTGCAGTCTTGCACAATTAAAATAACAGAGAATTAATCTTCAGTTATATGTACAAATTTAGCTACTTCTGGTAAAATATTTATTTGGTGACAGCTATATAAGTGGTTAACAATAATATTATAACTTATTTCAATACTGAGTAAAGAAACTTTTTGCTAATATTGTACAAATCACTTGAAATCACCAAAGTCATACAGATTTCTCCTTTCACATCTGACAGGCTGCATGGGTTTTAGGTTGGCAGATTTTTTTGTCTCATCTGCTATATTTTCCATCGGAAAGTAATTTTTAGCTTTTCCTTTTTTTAAAACAGGATAGAAATATATTTAGGTTTGAAGACATCTGCTTTAATTTAAGTTTTTCATATAACAGCTTGAAAGAAATTTTCAAAGATTATTATTATTGTTATTATTATAATTGTTGAGTTTATAAATGCCTCTTATAACTGTCAGAGAGTTTATAAGGATGGTCACTCAGACACTATTGAAACAAATGGTTAGTCTGAAAGTTATTTAACATACTAGCAGTTTTTTGGGCACTGTTCTGTTATCAAGGGGGGGGGGGAAGACTGGATCCAGAAATGTATGGATGTAATTGTTCATGTATGCATGTATATATGTAAGCACAAATGTTATGTGTGTGTACATATTCACATATATGTACACCTCACAAAAAAATGGACAGTTTCATATCTCTACTGGACAGTTTGATCGTTCTACTGGGCGGATTAACGAAATTGAAGTTCAGTTTTTCATGTCTTAGGAAATATATTTCATGTGACTTAGGAAATACAGTGTCTCACAAAAGTGATGGGACACTTGTGCTTTACGAAAGGAAACTGTAGTAAAAAAAATTAGAAAAACATGTAAAAAATTTTGTGGGCGTGTTTCATACTTAAATTTAGTAACAATTATTACATAACATACACTTTCTCAAAATATTAAAATAGTAATTTACTAAAAATACAATTGTTTAGAACGGAGCAAAAAATGGCTCACTTAAGTGATTGGATACTCACGTAAGTGATGGGGCATTTACTTTTCCATCAAATATTTATCCAAAAAATTTTACTTTCTTAAAATGGTTTTAATATTTTGTTGTATTTCCTTTTACTTTTAAAATGTGATTTAATCTTCTTGGGATGGATTTGACTCATTTTTTGTGATTTCTGGAGTGATTTTACCCCATTCTTCTTGAAGCAATGATTTTGATTGTTGGTTTGAAGAAATGGTGTGTTTGCGAGTTCTTTATTCCAATTCTTGCCAAATATTCTCTATGGGATTTAAGTCTGGAGATTGTGGTGGTGTTTTTATTATTTCAGGACAGTTATACAGCAGCCAGAGTCTAACGTTCAAAGCAGTGTGCTTGGGGTCATTTTCCTGGTAGAATTTAAAATCGTTATGAAGGATCAAACTTTCGTGCTGAAGATTTCAAAATTTTGATTTAAAATGTCAATATACTTGTCCTGATTCATTAGACTGTCAATAAAATCAAATAAATCATTAAATCATAAATAAATGTCAATAAAAACTGTCAATAAAGATTATTAACTCCAGCGGACGACATACACCCCCATACCATAACTCCTCCTCCACCATGTTTTACTGTTGGCACCAAGTTCTGTTTGCGAAATTCTTGCCTGGGTTTTCACTGGGTCTACACCAAGATTCTACCGTCAGAACCTAATATATTTAATTTACTCTCATCAGCAAATATAACTTCATTCCAGTGATCAGAGTTCTTATTTATGTTGGATTTTGCGAAAGCCAGTCTGATTTTTCTATTCTTTTCACTTATTTTTTCCCGGCTGCTCTACCGTGATATCCAGCAGATCTAATTACTCTTCTAATAGTCTCAGGATTAACAATTACTCCATATAATGCTTGTAAATCAGCAGCAACTTTAGGAGCACTCATTCTTCGATTTTTTTTAAATATTTTGAACAATAATTCGTTTTATTCCATTGGATAGCTTTGATGGTCGGCCAGGTTTTCTTTTATCCTGAATCATATGATTCTTTTTATATCGCTTAATGATATTGAAACCTGTTGAATGACTCATGTTAACTGTTTGAGCAGTTTCTCTAATAGATTTTCCAGGTTCAATATGCAAATTAATAACTAATTTTCGAATTTCAGGCAAAGTTTCTTTTCGTTTAGCATTCACGGCCGCACAGAGCTAAAAAACACAAAAATTCCGAAACAAACTGGAGAGAAATACTGCAGACAATTTTATAAATTATTGCCAATTGCTTTTAAGTAAAAATAAAAAACCCCAAAAATATTTTTATTGTATTATGTTAGTAGTATCTAATGGTGTCCTTTCACTTATGCGAGCCATTTTTTGCTCCGTTCTAAACAATTGTATTTTTATTAAATTAATATTTTAATATTTTGAGAAAATGTATGCTATGTAATAATTGTTACTAAATTTAAGAATTGAAACACACCCACAGAAAATGTTTACATGTTTTTTAATTAATTTTATTACAGTTTCCTTTTGTAAAGCACAAGTGTCCCATCACTTTTGTGAGACACTGTATATTAGATTTATATACATCATTTTTCTAATATAAGTATTTTAACACAAAATTGCGACTTTTTCTGAAATGACATGCCAATGTTTTTCCATATTTCGATTCTACGACTCAAATTATGCCTAAATATTAAATTTTGTAAAATTTGCAGAGAAATTCAAAAATTTACCTTGGTGCATTTTCTTCAGAGCCAAGAATAATTCACTTTGTGAACTTCTTAATTTATAACAACCTATTTTCCTTTTCTTTTTTTCATTGTAAACGAGTGAAAAAAGTCATTTTTCATTATTTAAAATAATTTTTACAAAGTGCGAAAACCACATTTGGCATTATTATCGCTTATAAGAAATATGCCAAATTTCAAAACGTGCCAATATGTAAATTCAGGTATATCCTAGGAAATTTTGAATAAAAAACTCTACATTTTTGCAGGTATGCTTAGAAATACATCTACTTTAGGATGATGGTGAAAACTGTATAGGTTTGAAATTTCGAATTCTGGAAGAAGGAATCAAGTAAGTTTAATAAAAAAAGAGATATTAATAAATATGTATCAGATTCAATTAACATTGAGGAGCTAAAATTTTGAAAGCAAATTTTTTAAAAACTACTCATGCAATTTTTACAAAACTTAGCAGTTTAGCTTAATTTGAGTTGTAGAAATGAAATATGGAAAAAAAATTGTATGTTATTTCAGAAAAAGTCTGGTTTTTAGTCAAAATACCTATGTTAGAACAATGCTATATATAAATCTAATATATATCCCGAGTTGCGCTTTTGAGACATGGAAAACACAATTTGAATTTCGTCAATCGGCCATTAGAACAGGAGATATAGAACTGTTGCTTTTTTTTGGGGCGCAGTGTACATACATATTGCGCCAAATAATAATAATAATAATAATGCATTCATACATTTCTGAATCCAGTCCTGATAACAGAACAGTACCGTTTTTTGTGCGATTAATAGATTCTCAATAAAGTAGCATAGCTGTAATTTATAATCTTCAATTTAATTCATACTTTACAGCTTAATATAGGAACCACTAGTGACAAGGTGAGTTATTGTCACAAGAGTAAAAGTTCAGTAAGTAACAAACTAAATTTTACTTTAGTCTGCACTTGTGGTTTTTAATTTAGAATAAATTACAGCATGATTGGAAATACTAATTTGCAGACAATAACAAAATAGTTGTCTTAAATTATGTAATACTCATAATAATTAATAATAACTTTAAGCTTACATCCAGTAGACACATGGAAATAATTTAGCTCTAATTACAGAAACTCAAATTCTTGCAAATGCTGAGTTTTGATATTGAAATAAATCATGTATGTAATATTTTTTTAACTTTAATTGTCTGTATTGTAGGAGGGCTATCCAGAAAGTAGATTACGTTTTGGAATAAAAAAATAAACAAAGTATAGGAAACAAATTTTATTATATACAGATGAAAGCCACACTCAAATACTACTTTTCTACATAGTCACCATACAAATTAAGGCATTTATCGTAGCGATGTACGAGCTTGGAAATTCCTTCGTCGAAAAATTCGGCCGCCTGCGCCTTCAACCACTTCGTTACCTTTTCTTTCCTTCCATCTTGCACAAAACTTGTGGTAACCAAGCTTTTCGCTGATGATTTCGTGCAACAAACTTCGCGAAATTTGGGTGGAAACTCAAAGAAAGTTCCGTTATGTGTGAAATTTCGATTTTCACGGACTTTAGCATCGACTTTTTTCGAGAAGTTCGGCGGCGGTCACTATGCTGGGTCTCCCCACTTCGATCTTCGTCGTGAACATTGGTTCGGCCATTTTGAAATCTTATGACCCACTGACGCACTCCACCTTCAGTGATAATGTTTGTCCCCATACACTTCACGAAGCTGCCGATAGATTTCTATCGGTTTACAGTTTTTTGCAGTCAGAAACCTTATTACTGAGCGCACCTCGCGGGATTTTCAATTAACGCAGACATTTCAAACCGTCACAGTATCTGAACGGAGCACAGCACGAACCTCTCACTAGCACGGCTAGATGCAGACTGAGCTGCGCAACGCTCTGACCCCAAGATGGCCGCGCTAGCCCCGCCCCTAGCGGACACAGACGGAAACGTAATCTACTTCCTGGATGGCCCTCGTAATTATGCACCAAATTATGTTGAAAATTGCTGCTAGGAAAAAATTTGACCAAGACAGATTTGTGCATAATTTTTGATAAATATCCTCATTTACTCATATTTGTGTTTCTTAAATATAAATGAACTGAAACTTTACTTAAATATTAATGTTTATGTATATATGCAATTAAACAAAACATATATTTAATTAAATATATTAAACAAAACATATATATAACATTATTGTTTAATGTAATTTCAGTTTTCTTTTTTCTATTAAGAAAGTTCTGCAATTTTGGCTTGAATTGGGTGTAGATGGTTTTCGTGTAGATGCAGCTAGTCATTTTTTTGAAGATGAAAATTTTCTTGATGAACCCATTGCAGAAGATTCAACTGCTAATAGTGTGAGTAAATTTAATATTTCTGTTAGTAAAAGAAGTGCATATAAAAAAGTATAAGATCTACCAAAAAGCTCTGTTCAATAATGTTGTTTCAAGTTTCAACATGCATCCATTGTATGAATTCCAATAAGAAAGAAATGCTACAGAAGTGTGTTGAAGTTTAGTGAAAGTTTTCATTGGAGATGCAGTTTTGGATAGAATGTGCAGGATATCATTCAAAAAACTTGAAGCAGATGATTTTGACCTTAATGATAAGCCTGCCTTTGGGTGGCCATCTTTGATTGAAGAAAATACTGGTAGGATCATGATAGAGCAAGATCCTTTTTGGAGAACACTGGAGACTATGGAAAAGCTTCACTCAGCTCAACACACAATTTGAGATCATATTTAGAAACTATGATTGGTTATAAATATTTCAGATGATTGCCTCATGAGTTAAGTGAGGAAAATTTTCATGATCAAGTGGTCATACACACACCTGTGGTTGCTTGAAACAAAAACAAACCCTTTTTGGAGTAGATGATAATTTGCTGTGAGAAATAGATTACCTACTAAAACAGTGTAAACAGAAAAAAGCATATTGTAATCCCGGTCTACCTGTTTACAGCATCTCTAAATTGAGCATGATAGAGAGAATGCTGTGTATGTGGTGAGGCATCCAAGGGCCAGAACATTATGAGCTTTTGAAACCTAACTAAAAGCTTAGTTTAGACAGATACTGTCAGCAAATGAATGATTTAAACAGAGCATTCAAAGAGGCCAGTGATTATTAAATGGAAGAGCATCATACTGCAACATGATAATGCCAGATCACATGTTGCCTTGGTGACTCATCAGAAAATCGTAGAACAAGGCTGGGAAATTCTGTAGCATCTTCCATGCTCCCCAGACCTAGAGTATCCACTGATTATTACTTACTTCACTCCTTTCAAAATCTTTTAAAGGAAAAAATTGAAAACTGAAGCAGATGTCAGCCAGGCACTGTTTGAGTTCTTCACCTTTAAGAATAAAACATTTTTTAATAATAGTATTTTCAAATTACCATCACATTGGCAAAAGGTCATAAGTGACGATGGAAATTGTGTTGTAAGATAAATATCATTAGAAGTATAAAAAATTTATTATTTTCTTTCACTTCCCAAACAGAGGTTTTCAGTAGACCTTATATTTTCATTTAAAATAAAGAATCATAATGCAAACTGTCAAACAAAAGGCCTTTTGAAAAAAAAAAAAAAAGTACAGTATAATTTCACAGCTTTTGACTCTGAATTTTGTTTGAAAGCTATTTATGGAAATATTTATAATAATCAGTGTTAAGAACAAAAAAAGGTTCAATTAAATTTTCATTTGTCTTAAATGAAAATTTAATTAAAACTTTTTCGGTTTTTGATCTCAAATGAACCAGGAGAACAAAACATGCTTTTGAAATATATTAATTGACTTTTGTGAAGCTTTAATTCATTTTCCCGTGATGAGTTCTAAATTGGATTTCAGTAAAAGGAGGTTAATTTTTAAATTTGTATATTTTCACTTTTGCATTATTATTTTCCAAGTTTGTTCTAATATGAATTCTTATTTTAATTTTAATTTGTTTAGATGTTGTGTGTAACCTCTTATAATACATGGTTGCAATTATGAATATTGAGGAATTGCCATGCTTTGATTCCAATTTAATATTAACTTTAGACGCTTTAAGTTTTATTTTCCATTAGTAATATACTTGATTGAAGAGAGCATGTGAGCTGTAAATTTTTCACTTTCTAATCTTTTTATTTTAATTGTTTATCTAATTTAATTTAATTTTAGGCATTACATAGTATTTATTTTTTATTTTAATTAAAAAAATATTAAATGTTTGTTAGTTTTTTGTTAATTAATACTTGTTTTTAACTTTAAAGATAGCATCACAAAAATTTCTCCTTTTTTTATATTATAATATTTGAAGAATTATAAATGAAAAGTGAGAAGTAAGCACTGTTTTTCAAGTGTAATAAGCAATATAAAGCAAAATTTGTTTATAACATTGTTATTTTTTGAGATTTTTATTGTATTTTATTTATTTGGAGTACAGGATGAGTATGAATATTTGAACCATATCTATACTAAAGGGCAGAAAGAAAATCTACAGCTTTTAGCTGAATGGAGGGAAGTTTTAGATGACTATGAAAGGAAATCTGGAAAATCAAAGTAAATCTTTTTAAATTCACTTATTTTTGTGTCCCTGTAATGTTATGAAGATAAATCTTTTACATATAAGAGAATGAACATTTCTGTAACTGAAATAATATCACTTCAAACGTGCTGTTTAAATTATATTCAGAAAATAATTTTCAGAAATAAAATTATTTTTAGAAAATAATTGCATATTCACAATACTGTGTTGAGGAATGTCTTCAAGATGATATTCCGACTTTACAGATACTAACTTTAGCATTTAACTTGAAGTAGCTAAGGTTGTACTGAAGAGGAAATGATACTGAATAAAACTTTCTATGATTTTATCTCAATTTTTCTATTGCATTAGGTGAAAACAAAAAAGCATATAAAGTATTTTTTGAAGCTATTTCATTGCATTAATAAAAATAAGTAAGTAGTTTTCATGCAATTCCTTTTAAAAGAAGGAAGTTTATCATATAATACAGACACACATATATACATATGTCATACGTATACGTGTACATATATAAAGGTGGCACTATATTTAACCTTCCTTAAGCCTTTCAAATGTCTAGTATATCTCTTCCATTTATTAATTATTATTTTTGTCGTAATATATTGTATTTTTATGTAATTATCTAATATGTATTGAATAGTTGCTTGAAATATGGGTATGTATATACAGTCAAAAGTCTTTAATTCGGACTCGTCGGAACTCCGGATTATAGATCATCAGTTTAAATCTGGTAAGATGGCATGCAGAAATTGTAAAATTAAAAATATGAAACCGTAATTTATGAAATAAAGAGCAATTATGATCTAAAGGGTATAAAAATTTACAAAAAAAAAGCTTAATATTTATTTGTTACTTATTACATTTCTTTCAACGCGCGCATGCGTAAAACATACATTATGCATAGCTGAAATTAGAAAATTGCAACCAGAAAACTATTTGATGTGTATTTGTGATATTTATAATGACGAGGAATTTGATTTAAATCGTATCAAAGATGGAGTACATCGAGATCAAATACAAAATTTAGTAAGGAATTATAAGCCGAATAAAATAAAAGCATCTGCCCTGAAGATAAGGATAGTGCTGACAGATAAACTTCCAGTTCATTGCCCACCGTGAGGTCCCCCCCCCCCGCAGAGCAGCGTGAAATTGATAAACAGATTTCAGAATGGTTAGAGAAACAAAGAATATGCCTTTATCCTTTTTTTTTTTTTTTTGCAATAATTCCACTTTTTGTTTGATGCACATCGAAACATGCTTTCGCTTTGTAGATCCTTTGGCAGCTCCAGAATCGGAAATTCTTTTTGACATAATCGAAAGTTCAAGCTTACTTTTATAAATTTGCTCTATCAGTCTGCAAAAAATAATAAGCTGGATCCAGTTAGAAGATTAAGGAACAACACAATCTGCAACATTAACTGAAATAGATAATTAGATAATTTTAGCTTAGCTTATACCGTCCGTTATACATTAAACGTGCATGCGTAAATATATTATGCGCATGCGTAAAGGTAGTATGCACATGGATTAACACTTTAAATAGCAAAAACAGTTTATTCACAGATGATGTAGCATATATGCAAGATATTTAAAGGAAAATTTTAGCCTATTTGCAGTCGTATTTAATGCACAAAAACCAATGAGCTGCATTAGTACCGGGTGGCCATAATTAAACTGACAGTGCTCACAATGTTCTGTAGCGCGATCTATTTGCGAGAATGATGCCACCTTTTGTAGGAAGATTAAACAAGATGGGGGACGAAGGATTCCGCGAAAAAACAAATTAGTTCCAAAAGTCACCGCTAGGGGAATATTTGGCGCTGTGTAATAGAAAATAGAGTGTTAAGAAATGCAAATTAATACAGAATAAAATTACCTTTTATTATGCACATTTTCTGATTTAGTTCAAGTGCAATATGGCAACACTTTTAAAAAAGCGTAAATTCTACATAAACACTGATAAAGTCTCGTGATCTGCAGTATCACGTACGCTGAGCAGCAAAAGAAGTTCTTTATTCAAATTTGACATTACATCCATTCGCACAGTGCCAGCTGCTTGGGTTTTAAAAGGCAATGTGTTACATTTCGAAACAATCGGATTGAAAGTTTATGTGCAATGTCTCCTTCTTTAGTCGAGCATGCGTTACTGGTCAAATTCTTTTACTTCAAACAGTGCAATGTGTCAGCCGCTCTTTGTGCTTTTAGAACGCACAAAAAAAATGTGTAAAGGTAACGGTCCTGTGTCAGTTAATGGGCTAAAAGCAATGGTTGCGACGTTTGAGAAAAGAGGTTCTCTGAAGGTTCAGTCAGGCAGAGGACGAAAAACTGTACCACAGGATACAATCGAAGCAGTTGCCACTGCGATTGTCGACAGAGGACCAGATAATATTGCTGCCACCTCTAGCGCTTGTGGAGTAGCTCGGAATATGGATATGCCTTACAGTACGGTATGGGAAATCTTACGAAAGATTATCAACTTCTATCCGTACAAGATCAGCCGTGTACAGGAGTTACTGTACTCCGACCATGATAAGCAATTGACTTTTGCTCTCACCTTTCTCTCCAGAATGGAGGTGAATGATGCTTGGCCATGGAAAATCTTATGGGGAGACGAGGCCCACACTTTTACCTGAATGGAACTGACTGAACTACCCAGAACTGCCGAATTTGGTATGACAAACCACCACATGCAGTCACAGCAATTCCCTTACATTCACCAATGGTAACTGTTTGGTGTGGGTTCACAGTGGAATTTATTGTAGGTCCATTCTTCTATGAGAACATTATCCCGACAGGACCGGAAACCTGTTCTGTTACCGGAGAGAAATATCACCAGATGTTGAACAGCTTTGTCATTCCAGCACTTCAGCAAAGACAATGGGGGAAATCATTTTCATGCAAGATGGAGCCCCTCCACATGTTGCTGTACGGGTGCAACAGATGCTACGACAGAAATTCACGACAGAAAGAGTCATTAGCCGCTACTTTCCAACTGCATGGCCACCTCGGTCACCTGATCTTACCCCATGCAACGGGAGATTCCTGCAGACATGTTACTTTCTGCTGTTGTGCATACTGTGCACAGAATGCAATATGTGGTTCGCAACAACAGCAGCCACATTGAACCTCATTTGAATGCAAAATAAAAGGTAATTTCCGTATTGATTTGCATTTGTTAACACTCTATTTTCTATTACACAGCAACAGATATTCCCCTAGCGGTAACTTTTGGAACTAATTTGTTTTTTCGCGCAAATTTGAACTAATTTGTTTCTTCGTCCCCCGTCTTGTTTAATCTTCCTACAAAATGTGGCGTCATTCTCGTAAATAAATCGCGCTACAGAACACTGTGAGCACTGTCAGTTTAATTATGGCCACCCAGTATTTAAAGCTTAGTTGCACATTTCTTGTAGAATAGATATCATAATCTGTAGTCTGTCCTTCAGTACATTGATTTTACATCCTGCTATACACATTCTCTTTTACCATATTTCATAACTAAAAACATAGGACATCAAGTCAAGGGAATCTATAGGTCATTTAATCAAATCACTGTAACCATTTTTATGATCTGGAGAAGTGCAGTCAAGATAATTATAAACAGAATGTATAATACACCGTCCCATGGAAAAGAATCTTGTCTATCAGATATGTAGCGGAAGTTCATCAATAACAAACTGCTGCTCCATATGTAAGTACATGTCTAACATCAAAGTTGGATTTAAAAAAATAGGGTCCAATGATGACTGGTTGTTTTACTTCTTTTTTTAAGGATACAATTGACTCTATCATAAAGTAGTAGTTCCTCTGTGATTTTCTAGTGTATGATACTTATAATCATTGGACTTTGTTGCATGAAGCTGATCTGTCTTATGATGCTGATAATGATGTCTTTCTTTCTATAGCAGAGGTTGATTTTATGAGATGTGCATTGATGATGCTCGTTGTATTAGTTTATGTCCATGATTTTTGGCAAGTGTGTAGAGAAACTGCATAATAGACTTAATTATCACTTTGTGTGCTCTGGCCTTTTGAGTGAGGATCAGTTTGAATTGTCTTTCTAAAGGTCTGCTGAAGACATAGTAGGCGACTGTGCATCTCCCCCTCCACATGGCTCTGTCACTGGCAAGTTCAACCTGCCATTTCCTATTGAGTTGCAATCACGTAAACATGGCTGTCACTATTGATTTTCCCCCCAAGTGTGAATTGCGAGCTTTTATTCGTTTCTTGTTGGCAGAAGGGAACAGTGCAGCATAAATTTATCGAAGAATGAGTCGAGTGTATGGAGTGATGGCGTTATTCGTGAATGATGTCGAACATTTAAAGATGGCCGAACTGATGTGCATGATGAAGGGAGTCAAGGACGCGAGTCTGTCGCCACAGATGACATTGTTCAACAAGTTGACCAAGCAGTTAAGGAAAATTGAAGTTTCGCTATAAATGAATTATTGATGAAATTTCCCTACATTTCAAGATCTTCCCTGTACTCTGTCATTACTGAACAGTTCTGCTACGGAAAAGTTTGCACTCGCTGGGTCTCACAAATGTTGGCTGACAACCACAAAACTCACCAAATGACTGCAGTGTTGAAGTTTTTTTACTGTTACAATACTGATTGAGAAGATTTTTTGAAATCCATCGTGACAGGTGATGAAACATGGGTTCATATGACACGCCGGAAACAAAACGGCAATCACAACAATGATGCACACAAATTTTCTAAAGGGATCCACAAAATTCAAACCAACCTTCAACAACCGTAAGGTTATGGCAACTGTTTTTTGGGACCAAAAAGGTGTGTTGCTTGTGGAGTTTATGCAACCTGAAACAACAGTTAACACAGATTCATATTGTAAAACTTTGTTACGCTTACGGAGAGCTATTCAAAACAAACAAAGAGGCATGCTGACTTCTGGAATTGGTCTGATCCATGACAATGCCCTTCCTTGCAGTGCTAATAAATCCCAATGGCTCATTCAACAATTTCAATGGGACATTTTCGAACATCCACCAT